CTGAGGGACAAGACCCACACCTGCGCAATAATAACATTAAACCATGCTCAGCCCACTGGCCAGATGAGGACAGTGTTGGTTTGTGTGTGCTGTGTGTGTGTGTGTGTGTGTGTGTGTACATGCACATGGCATTTGTTCAATCTTAATTCAGCCCCACCACCAAAAGGAATATTAGTCTTCACAGAACAAAGTAATATCCAACACAAACAGTTTGTTGTGAAACTAACATTGTAGTCATGTCTACATCTATATGCTCCACAGGTATGTTTGGTTTGAAGCCTTCTCCACAGTGTTTGTTTTCAGAGCCACACCAGGAGAGGGGCAGCTCAGGCTGTTTTCAGCCTCTAATATTTGTTATTATATAAGCCAGAAAAACAAAGACACAAATGCACTCCATCATGGCAGACCATCTCCCCCTGCAGTCAGAGTTTTTTGTCTTATTTTGACAAATGAATGGTTACGGAGTTCACAGGTCTTTAGTCAGAAACTGAAACAAATAACTGAACAAATAAAATAAAAAAAGTACAAATATAATTTCAGGAAACAATATTGTGCCATGCCTTTGGCAGGGATCACCAGATGCTTAGTTTTAAGACAAGAGGAAAACAAATGAAATACTCTCATATCTGTTTAAATATAGCAAATATTTCCAATTCACCCACAACAATCATTTTGGTTAAATGTGAATGCTTCTATATTCTATATAATAACAATTGCTTTTTTATACTTATTTTTAGTAGGGCTGCAACTAACAGTTACTTCCATTATTGCCAAATCTGCTCATTATTTTCTTGATAAACACTTACTCTTGATTAATACTGGACTATAAAATGAAAATAGTAAACATTCAGTCAGTTTACTATCACATAAGACAAAGAAAAGCAGTAAATCTTCACAACTGAGCAGCTGGAAAGACAAACTGGTACACATTTTTGCTTAAAAATCATTATCATTATCAAAATAGCTGCAAATTAATTTTCTGTGGATAATTTCTACAAATTGTTTCAAGTCATATTTGTAGTAGACAGTGAAACGCACACACAAGCAAAATTCTATTAAATATGTACATTCCAATATTTTGAATTCATTATGATTCTTTATGAATAAGAAAGTGTAGAGCTATCAGTTCAGGAATCAATAATAGTAAGTTATTTTTCACAAAAAAAATCCTAGAAAAAAAATCACTCACTATATGCAAATCTAGGACTGTAACTCTATTTCTCCAATTAAATTTAAGATTAATCGCTGAGTCTGCAGTACAAAACCGAAAGATATTCAGTTTACAATGAAAAGCAGCAAATCCTCTGAGAAGCTCAAATCAGAGAACATTTAGCAGTTTTTGCTTGAAAATAAATAAAATCTGTTAATTGATTTCCAAAATTGTTGCCTATTAAGTTTCAGTTGATTGACTAATCGTTAAATCAACTAATCGTTCCAGCTCCATGCAGATCTTTCCTAATTTCTGCAAATGAGAAATACTAACAAGACAATAACTGTATGTTAACCGCAAAGGTTAGTAGGTTTTACAGGGAGAAAATCTGAAATGATGAAATGTGGTTAAATTGTTCTGTTTTGCTTTATTCACTCATAGTTCTTAACAGTCTGCAGCATTCTGTTTGTGCATGCACACGAGGAGGTTAAATACCCCACCCCCGTCGGGCCCCCCACACCCACCCCAACACAGTACCCCTCCACTCATCTGCTCCAGCTCTCCCCAGCTTCACACCGCTTACATCTCCAACACCACCAGATCTCCCCTTTTTTCCTGCTTGCTCTTTACTAAAGTTTGGCTGTCAATCAGCAGTGGCCTCAGGCAACAGGCACTGATGAAAAGACCCCTGAGACAAGGAGACCCAAATTAGATTTCAATAAGGATGTTGAATATTCATATCAGGGAAACATCTAAAGGTAAATGCTTTTTGATCTCCGCGCACAAATATCACTTGTGTGCATTCCCAGGTCCTGGCGCTGTGGTTCTACAGTGTTTTCTCCCCCAGCCTGGTCCGGCCCCGGCCTCGGCTCTGTCTCACTCCTCGGGGGCTGCGATGGAATA